GGTTTGTGCTGCCCCTCCGCGCACTGGGTTTGTGCTGCCCGTCCGCGCAGCGCGCTGGGTTTGTGCTGCCCCTCCGCGCACTGGGTTTGTGCTGCCCGTCCGCGCAGCGCACTGGGTCTGTGCTGCCCCTCTGCGCACTGGGTTTGTGCTGCCCCTCTGCGCACTGGGTTTGTGCTGCCCCTCCGCGCACTGGGTTTGTGCTGCCCCTCTGCGCACTGGGTTTGTGTTGCCCCGCCGCGCACTGGCAGCTTTGCTGTTCGTTTTCAGGTGTGGTTGAAACCGGTCTGTTCGTGGACATGGCGGATAACGTCATCTTCGGCGGGCCGGAGGGCACCGAGGAGATGTGAGCCGCCTGCACCTGCTGACCAGCGGCGGATCGAGGAAGGGACCGCCGGCGGACCACACTCTGGGCGGGACCGGCCAGTGTCACCTGACAGTCTGGGCGGGACCGGCCAGTGTCGCCAGACAGTCTGGGCGGGACCGGCCAGTGTCACCTGACAGTCTGGGTGGGACCGGCCAGTGTCACCTGACAGTCTGGGCGGGACCGGCCAGTGTCACCTGACAGTCTGGGCGGGACCGGCCAGTGTCGCCAGACAGTCTGGGCGGGACCGGCCAGTGTCACCTGACAGTCTGGGTGGGACCGGCCAGTGTCACCTGACAGTCTGGGCGGGACCGGCCAGTGTCGCCAGACCCGTTGGTGCCCTCTCTCCGAGCACCAGATAGACGCAAGGCGCCTGGTCTGGCGGGCTGCTCAGAGGTGGCGGAGGAGCGAACGGCGTGCTGTGACGCGAAGTATACTCGGCCCTGGGCCTTTAAACAAACAACCCAACCAACCAAAGAGCGTTGTTGGCGATGGCTTTCGCCGACACCACGGTGATGTCGGGTCTTCCATTGTTATCTTATCCTTTATATCTGTATGCGGAGATGCGCTGTGTTATGGCGTTGATTGGAAAGTTTATCGCGCGGGACGGCTTTGCTTACATTGCGCCGGTGTATATCCTCGCATCGAGATTGCGCCAGTTTTATATCTTTGCCACTACACGCTTACGTCACCCGGCGCATGACAGAAGCATTCCATGCTGGATGGTTGTGGTGCACGGACTGCACAAATACACCAATGTATCCACAGTTTGACCTTTGTCGGGAACCAGGCTAGTCTACATGTGACTGCCGGGGCTTAGAAAGAAACGCTATCACGCGGCTTCTTTGAACAACTTACGGCCGCTCCATGGCCAATCTGATATCACCTGGCAGCAAATTTGATGCATACTAGCGAAGCGACTTAGTCTTCCCCCCCCCCCCCCCCCCCCGGTGAGGTGAGGGCATGTTCATTACGGTCGTAGGTTCCAGAATATCTGAATGAAAAGGTGATGGCACACAATTTCAAGACCTGGTTTAGTCAATTTAACTATGCTAGTCCAGTCGCAGCACCGATTGTGAGGGATTGATAACTTCCCACATTCTCTATATGTCCTGCTTGCCTTCTCGAACCTGATAATGGTGGCTCGTTCGCCAGCGCCGCAAATTGGCCAATGAAAATGATCTGTCGTTCATTGGTGCTAGTTAGACCAGTTAGCAAACCAGACCAGACCAGCAGTTAACAAACTAATTTCCTTAAACCATTCCTCGTGGCTATGTCATGAGCCTGATCAGCCATCACAGTCAGTCATCAAGCTTGATCAGCCACCAAAAAGCCTGACGGAACCACGCTGCTCGCGCGTGTAGGCTGCCACCGTGGCAGGCTCATGCCGTGCAATAAGACGGTCTTTCGTTTGTGCTTGTCTTTCGACAAACGACTTCTATATTAGAGACTCTCCAGGACGCCAAAGTAGTGCATTTTTGGGATTCGAGACGTTCACCTGACTATTGAGTCACGGTGCAGATATTAGCTTGGTGTGCATGAGAACAGCCAGTAACCAGTTTCACACAGACAGAATAATGTACAGTTCTGGCGTATGGAAATAACCTGCTAATCC